TTATTTCCACCTGGTTGAATTCTACCACGAGTCGAAGCGGAAGCCAAATAACGTAGGGTTGGAGAATCGGGTGCATAAGGGGTTATGAGAAAGGGTTGGCTGGTGGATTCATTGGTGCAGATGAGGAAGAGTGTATAACATTAGGGTCGCGTACTGGGTTGTTGAGTAGGCGGTACTTGATGTTGTACTTGTTGAAGCGAATGGTTGATAGCCTACCTCAGGAGGAAGTAGGGCTAGCTGCGGTAGATATTCCTCTTTAAACTCAGAGTTGTATAATTCCATTTAATTACCAATTAAACCCCCTGCCTTGCTCGTTTGGTTCAATGCTAGGCAGCAGGTTCGCTGTTGAGTGTCTCACCGCAAATACGTCTGCGATATCCAACGGGAAGACCTGAAGAAGATTTACTAAGATCTAATAGATAGGGTATGTATACTGGAGTGGAGTCAACGTCAAGGTACTTCACCTACGGTAAGTATTATATATACACTTATTCTCTCTCGCTAATACGACGTAGTTTACAGTAAAACTGATATCCTCGTTCACATGTCACGGTCTCATCGGGATCCCGAAGGGTGTGACATCAATTGCTGCAATATCCATTTCATCGACATTGATCATCTTTCCTACAGCTCTCCAGTCTATTCAGTTTTCATTATATTAATTAGAAATATTAGAAGATACTTTCAACTTTAAACACGGAAGAGCTCCAAGCCTCTCAGATTATAACACCCACCTGGTAGTATGACGATCTGATATCTTTTAGTTAGGATAACCCTTCTTTATTCTCATTACATAAGCATGAAGAGAGAAAGAGCAAAGTTCAAAGTAGAGAGATAAGACACTGTATAGAAGATAGTCAGGAAAAGGGTAGTGAAAATAGTGTATCAAGGAAGGGAATTTAAAATATACAAATGTACGAAATATCCGCTTATTTCCTTTTCGAAACCTCTGCAATTCTTTTAGCAACATCACCCCCCCAATTCAACCAACATCTGCAATCCGTTAGCCAATTTACCAGGCTGCCTTCCAAACAAATTTAGTGTTCACATCGACGCCCATTCGGACCAGTTTTGCAGGACTATACTTGAACTTGCGTTTATCCTTCTCGGATTTGACATCCTGTGGACCGGTCTCCTCAATTTACTCATCAGAGTCTGTTTTATCAGCACATTTTTCTACTTCGACTTCAACCATTTCCTCTGGCGGAAAGACCAGCAGCTATTTTGAGCTCCTTTACCTGCAATCTCACGAGGGAGGCCCTCACTGTCATCCATTTCCTCAACAATCCGACTAGCATCCCGCATGATACGTTTCGAGACAGAAACCCCATAAGCTGGGTCGTTATGGAAGCTGGTGTCTTCGTATCCGTCCTCAAATTCAGGAGCGTAACGTCCGGGCGCGTAATGCACTGAACCCCGGTTAAACTCCAGGAGATAACGTTGACGTGTGTCTGGAGTATCCGGCAGGAAGCTGACTCGCTTCTTTTTCTTCTTTTTCTCAGTCTGACGGCGTTTTGGCTTATCGGGAGCCTGGATCGCATAAGGCATTTCTTGTCTCGCTTTCAAGGCGGCCAACGTGGCAGAGTTGCAGACGAGGAAGCCTCCAGCCCGGCGAATGAGCTCCTTGTTCTTCTTCTCCCACGTTCGCTCAGATTCAATGCATATGTCCAACGCATAGAGAAACCTCGCGAATTCTAGTTTTTCTTTTTGAAACTCTTTGCTCCACTTTAGCCAAAGACCAGAATGATTGTTAAGGGTTGTTGCAAGCCGTCCAAAAGGGCCACCGAGTTTATTCCAATTATTCGCTACATTGCGTAGGGTTTTTAAGATATCGACGACGAGACAAATGGGACAGAGTTTCATATCCTGGTCTGGAAAACCGGGGTGAAGGCGGTCGCCACAATCTGAAGCTGTCACATAGACCAGTACAGGCGATAATGAAGAGAGAGGCGTGAGGTTACCTTCTGTTGCGAGATCTTTTGCGTCTACCCACTCGGTATAAGTCTCAGGCGAGTGTGGCTGTCCTTCGTCTTTCGAGTTTTCGTTTTTCATCGTAGAACGAAGCGGACACTGAGAATTCTCGCGTAAGCCATTTGCGGGTGCGGCCTCTTCAATTCTGTCTCTCTTTTTAACACATGGAGACTTCACATCATCTTGACCATCTTCTTTCTTCACACGGGCAGACTTTTTCTCATTTTTGGCCTGTGGGAGATTCTTGTCTTCGCGACAATCCACTTTGATGCGCGAGAGTACACGGTGAGGGTTCGTGGCTGAGAAACAGTGGAAAGGCATATAGTAGGTAGTGCAGATGCTATCTATACAGGATTATAGTAAAGGTTCGTCGCGTTGTTGACTGAAGGCGAGTTGTTTTTGCGTGGGCGAGGTGAGGTGAGGAAGAGGCAAAATAAAAACAGAGAGCGGGCTTATAAACATGCCTCCACCTCCTCGTAGTGAAGTGAATGACTTCGATGTTATTTCACCTTTATTCGGGGTCTCAGACAATCAGTCGCACCGCTCACCCACCTTCGTGACGCAGTTGAGACCTCCATCTTTGTCAGGTGCATTGAGAACATTAAGAGATGTACAAAAGTTCGATCTGTTCTCTTTGACTATTATTGACTTTCCAGCTACGGACTTTGGGGACGGTCACTCACGCTGCCGCGACGGCTTCCTTTGATGATTCAGTCCAACCATGGCAACACCACGCCCCTTTCCGTATTCTCTACGCAGCGTTTCAAAAGCTGTTGAATGCGAAACTCTTGAGAGCCGATAGCCAGTTCGTATAGTGCACCAGGAGCCACTCGGCATGAGAAACTCTCTGTGTTATGTCGATAGACGGAGGATTAGACCAGAGTATTCTGGGCCTACGAAGTCACCGCTATTCTGTCACTTAAAACAACCCTCTTTCCCCTGTGGCGCCCTGATGAATATCCCCTTCTTTCAAAGTTGATGTTAAAGATAAAAGTTTGGGGTAAAATTAGTCGCATACATAGTAGATGACTAACCAACATCATTAGATCTCAAACTACCTAATCAGACAATCTCGCCAAAACCATTTAGTACTACACAATTGCCACTGCCAAAGTGCCTCACGTGGGAACTTGCTTTATCCTTCCATCCACAATACTAGCCACTCGCGCGAAAACCTTTGCATGTTCTGGATCCTTCAAAATCCTTCTCTTACAATTCCCTCTCTGAAACGCGCCTCCGGACTTCGAGATACGGCATAGCCACAGTCGTCCCAGGCATCAAACTAACATTTCCTCTAAAGATATGGACCCATTCCGCAAAAGCACAGAGTGCTTCGACTATGCAGTAAATGCTAAATCTTTCAGCAATGAAGACCTTTCCATGATTCATAACGCTAGTATCAATCTGGCTATGTGCGCGGAGAGCAATGGCTCAGCCATACTCATCTCAACATACATTTCTACTCAACCATAATGACAAGATCAACGAACACATTTCTCCTTCCAAAGACCCTTTCGTCCAAGAGAAAATCATCGCCTTCGATAATGATAGATACCACAATAGCCATCTAGGCATCCAAGAAAACGTCAGTTCTCTCTCCTTCCTGGGCCCCATAACCGGCGGCGTCAAGCTCGCGCGCAGAGACCCCAATCAACCACACAACTACATAATTTACGTCCGCGCATCCTCCCCCTATGCAAAAACACTGGATTACGTATATATCCGAAATGACACCTCCACCGTTTACATCCATTCCGTAGATCCTCTCGAACCTGCACAGCTCAACTCAACAGTCTCAACTCCTTTCCTAACGATCGACATAATCCTCTTCGTCAAACCCCACACCGTCCAATTCGGCCGTGGAACAAGCATCTCTACAACGTACCTCCCCATTTCCATCCACCCAGACCTGTGGTTTGAAACATATCACATGACACTCTCCTCCACCTATGGCTTGATAACAGGAATAGAGAGCCTAGAATTCACTGCCCATGCAATCAGAATTACGACCAGTTCTTCTTCTATCGTGGGGAACTGGTCTTTGCCGCGTTCGATGACTTTCACTAGTAAGAGCGGTGATATCGATGTTAATCTGGTTCCAAAACGATGGTCATCAGGTCCAAGCACGGGTAGCTATATCCACGCGGAGACGCGGAGGGGTGATATTGCAATAAGAATGCCATTAGAGAAAGACAAGCTCTCACTTCGGAACGGAACCGCTTTAATCTCAGCGCCAGGTGGTTCTATATCCGGCACTTTCGTCCACGGCGCCATCACCACCCTAAAATCTGGCTACGATATCACCGCGAAGCTTTTGCCGTACTGGGCATTCTACGAGTGGGCGGGCATCCAGCACAATTACATAACTACCCAGTCAGGATATGGGTCTACGACGGTGGAGGTTCTCCCTCCACAAATCCATACATACTACGGCGTCAACCCACTCTTCTTCGCCAACTCGTGCCACGTACAAAATGGCGGCGGTACCATGAAATTAACCTACCCAGGGGAATGGGGCGGGCGGGCGGTGGGCCGGGCAAGGCATGGTGGGACTGTAGATGTTAGGGGGGAGGACTTCGAAGAAATTGAAAGAAACGGTACCACAGTGGAGATTCAACGAAGGCCCTTAGGAAGCAAGTTGCTATTTGAGACTAATATGGCGGTAGCACGGTTACACCTGAAACCTTGTTCGAGCCCATTTTGTCGGATCAGTAGAATTCATATGGACGAATTCCCGGAGAAGTAGAGAAGGTTTTTGAGGGAGGTCCTTTTTATATAGAAATATGACCTAGGCTATTTGAAGCAAGGAGATTAGGAATCTAAGTAAAACATCTACAGTATGGATCATAGCTATAGGATCCAACCGTATTATAAAATTGACAGCTTAACTATACTTGATCAAGCATATCATATGTTCCAAACTTAACCATACTGAAGCAAGCAAGCATGCTATTGAGCCTTAGAAACATGCTTTAGCAAGTTCTACTACCTCTTCCCTCGAAGGAAGATCCAAAAAGTTTAGGGTTAGTTGGACGAGTTGGGGTTTGAACCCAAGACTTCCCGCATACGCATACTAGATGCGAAGCAGGCACTCTACCACTGAGTTACACGCCCCGGTTCATTTAATCAAGGCATACGGATGCGCTCTCTTTAAAGCTGTGCATTGATTGTGAGTAGGTAAGACATCAAGAAATATAGGAAGTCGATGATACCTGACGGGAGTGGGGAATATAAAAGTTTGCTATCTGCAAGTGGGAAAGGGCGGTGAGATGTTTGCTCAAGAAACCTGGAATCATTGAAGCAAACAATAGCGACTTTTGTCTTCTAAGCACCTAAGAAGCTCAAACTGCTAGTTCATTATGGTGATATGCTGATAGTTGCGTTTATGGGCCAGCTCTACACTCTAGATACGGCTTATCTAATATAGGAAACATTTAGGTTTTAGGCATGCTCAAAGGGATATGATATGTAGAAGACCGGTTCCTGTAAGGACGCACCATTGGTAAATTGGTACCAGATACAATCTAATAATTTTATTTCCACAACGCCCCACGCGCATTCCAAGCATACTGTACATTCAAACCCCTTTTATAATACTCCGCATCAAACAAATCCCCGCTCACATATTCCCAACATACTCCCTAATCCCCGCTAACCCGATCCAAACAGCTTCTTCCGTCCTAATCGTCCTACTCCCCTGCCCTGGCGCAAGATTAACCCAATAATCAAACGCTTCGCCTGCCGTCTCCTTGGTAATTCCATTAGCCGCCAAAGTAGCATCCCCAGCGATCGCTGGTTCCAGCCCCGCAACGCCGCCAAACACCATAACCGCGTGATTGAAGGATAGCGGAAGTAGCTGCTTACCACCTTTGGAAGATGCAAGACCAGGGATCAGTGATTTCAACGGCACCCCGCGCTCGGACGTGCCGATAGAGATATCGTAGCCGTTTTCGAAGGGCGATTCAGTGTATATGTCCGAGAATGTCGCCGCGCGGCGGACGGTATAGCCCCAGTAGTATCCGCCCTCTTCTCTTGGGTCAGACGGACTGGTGGCTTCCACTTCAAGATTCGCAACTTGGTCCGGCGACAAATTGGGAAAACCCGGTGGTGGCGCTTGAGATGCGAATTTGACCGTGACGCGCACATACGGCGGCAATTCAATCGGAATCCTCACCGGTGCCGAAAGTCCGCATTCCACCATCGTGAACACATCCTCTTTCTCTTTCTCGCCCTTTTTGCTTTTCTTCTTCTTCTTCTCTGGTTCTCCCTGCTCTCGCTGTTGGCCATGGGAGTGAGAGTCATTTTCTAGAGTGACGCCTTCGCGGTACACACACCACTCGTCCGCGCGCATATGGTGCGGCATATCGAGACTTGTGAAACTGCCTGCACCTTTGAGGTTGGGATGGTGCTGGAATAGATACCTGCGCAGATGGGGCGGCGTCTCTAGATAGCTTAGGACGTGGAATAGGAATTGATCTGGATTGTGCCAGGGCTCGTCGATATCTGAGACTTCGGCTAGGACCTCGGCCTTGGTCTTGCTGGTTTGTTTGTTAACGGAGCTCCAGGAACCCTTGTGGCCTTTGTTGTTGGAGTTGACTTTTTGTTGGGTCTGCTGGGGAATCGTGTGTGGATCGTCGTCGAACACAACAATCTCGTCCACACAGAACACCGCACATGCACGTGCAATTCGGCATGCGAGGGAGGCTTTTTGGTCGTAGGTAGAGACACTTTGATTGTTAGATGGAGCGGGTTTGAATAGCGGAAGGGAAAGTAGTAGGAAATATAGTAGAAGCAAGACTTTGAGGACGAAGAAATGACGGTAGAAGATCTGCTTACTTGGTGATAAAGCTCCCTGGTAACGCGATGCTTAGAGTCCATGGTCTACCATTTTTGGGCTGGAATACTGCGGATGGCTTGGAGGTGTCCAGTTCATTCTGAGCCTCATTTTGATTCATAGCGCTTCGTCCGCGCTTCGGGCTGGCAACATCTGTGTTGTTGGTTTCTTCTTGGTGAACGACAACATCTCTCTTGCGCTTCTGTATAATTGGTTAGGACCTCAACTGGATCATTGTTTGAACGTGACTGGTAATTACTTTGCTCTTCTTATCCTCATCTTTTGCCATGGCGGGCGCTGAAATAAAGTAACCGGTAACACTAGCAAGTACAGAGGCAATCTTGTATTAACCTTACGGGAAAGATTACCTTATGGTAATGGTGAGTCTATGCTAAGTGAGCAAGTCTATGGTAGGATTGTGATGCGTACGATTTGTCTGGGACGAAGTTTGCGTAGCAAAGCTTCAAAATTTCCTCTCCGCGTATTTCTCAGTCTGCCAAGATCCTGACAGGAACCCTGCAGAAGCCCCGGAAGTGCAATCCTATTTTTAGACACCGTATGTCTGCCTAGGCAGCAACGACAGTACAGTAGAAGAAGCACTTTCTCCTACAATCAAAGACTCACCTCCGTATACTTATTATCGAAACTTCATTTCCCCTTAAAAACGACTTTAGATTGACAAAGCAATCATCCAAACCCGCAACAATGCCTGAAGAAGCGTTCGTTCTCACCCCTTACCTCCCTTTCTCACTACTAACTCCGCCCAGCACAAAGGCAACCTTTCTCGCTACAACGCGCGACACCCTAATCACCTTCTTCGCCCTCTACTTCACTACACTCTTTAGCTTAGATACCTGGGCCGCCGCACGAAATTCTCCATATCGGGAGGCCTCATCTACGTACTACCGACCCGCTGATACCCGAGCTACCCGAGGCCCATCCAGGGACAGCAGGTACTATGCGCCTTCAGTTAGACCGGGAGGAAGTGGAGGAGAAGGCAGAATAGGATCCGGCGATTCGCGGGAACCGTTGAAGTTTGGGGGAGCTGCGAGTTGTGGGGCTTGTATGATTTAAGGTATGGATGGGTAATGTATTATACGGGGCGAACGTGGACTTTGCGGCCGGCGGGGTCTATATTCGTGGAGTTGGTCAAATCGTTCATATTGTTTTCAGGGGATCTTCGTTGTTAAAGGCGGCTTTTGGGTAGCTTCTGCGTACCCTATCAATCAAGAACTGTCAACACAACCGCAATCAGTCCAATATCCACATGTTTTGAAGCTTCATAAATTATTCCTTTCTTAATCTAATACCAAGTACGCCAAAACGGTTACACTCAAAAACGTGCTATCGACTATTCCTATTCCCCTATCACTCCCTGATGCACGCTTCGTTCACGAAATCAAATTCAATTAACAGTAAGAGAAGAAGCCTATGCCACGGATCCAATAATAAGCGCCGCAACACCCTCCTCCTCCGCTCGGACGTCCATCTTCATTGTCACGCCAGTCTTAGCCGAGAACGCCATCCGGATCATGGCTGCGACCTTGCCGCCCGTTACCGTCTTGCCGTAGAGCTTCAGGGTGTGGGTGGAGGTGGAGAGAGTGACGTCTGTGCCTTCCAGAGGTTGGAGCGATAGAGTCTTTGTGAGTTGTTCGGTGGCGTCTAAGAAGATAGTTAGTGAAAGTATGCTTGATATAAGCGGAATGACAAATACTTACCAGCTATGCTCTTTATATTACTCAACTGCAGCGTCTCAGTCGCCGATTCACCCGCACCAGTCTGTTGCCAGACATTGTCAAAGCTGCCAGCATAAGCCGGAACAACATAATCCGCACCGTTGAGATCGAGGTCCTCCACCTGGTATTCATCTTCATAACCTTCACCCTCCTCCGGCTCGCCAGTGCTGGGATCGATCTCCTTGCTCGTGAACTTGAGGACGTTGGTAAACGAAGTGGCAATGAACTGCGATTCTGTCTCGAGTCTTTTGAAGGAAACGTATATGGTGCCAGGCTCGTTGGTGGGCAGCTTGGGTGCGGGAATGATGAATTCCTCTTCTAGCTGGACATCGCCGTCATCCTCGGGCGCAACCACCATCTGTACGTCGAGGAGGACTGTATCTGGGAGAGTGTTCTTGACATCGTATTGGATAACGACGTGGTCCTTGAAGATGTGCTTAACGGCTGTGACAACGTACTCAGTCTCAGACTCGGTAAGCTCGACAATGGAGCTGGACTTGAGCACACCACCATAAGCTGCGAGCTCGGGAATCTTTTGCAACTCCTCCGCATACTTTTGCGCAGCGGCGGTAGACGCAGCGGCCGCATCGGCACCTGACTTCGCTGGTGGTTTGGGGCCTGCGCTGGGCGCCTTGAGGGTGGGTGTGGCTGTGTTGAGCTTCTTTGTCCGGTCGTCTGCGTCGGCCTGCTCGCGGGAAACGGTAGGGACCTTCGAGATGTCGAAAGCATGCTCAAAGGTCTCCCGGGAGTCTGAGCTGACGTACATGGCCAGTTGATGCTCAAGAACAGGCAATGAGAACATAGAATCGTTACGGACGAAATTGATAGCCATATCGTCATCCTGGTCCATCAACCGGAGGTTCAAAGCCGCGCGATCGCGAACTTCGTCATCCACATCATCCAGACAACGGGTAAGAAGGACGTGAACGGACTTCTTGATTTCGGGATCCTTTTGCCCAACACCAAATTTGGCCAAAGCGGAAGTAGCAGCGGCGCGGACAATGGCATTTTCCAAAACAACCCGGTTGTATATATACCGGATATATTTGGTTGGATGCGGGGTTGAAGGACCTTCCCGACCAAGGAGAAAGAGAATCCGGACAGCAAGCTTAGTGAATTCGCAGTCCTCAATGAACTCGCAAAGGGTAGCAAGCGCATCTTCCTTCGCCTCCGGAACGAACCTGATCAAGTCCATGATGGCTTCAACAACAGCTCGCTTGAAATCGTAGCCGCCCTCATCGCGCAGAATGCCGCTCAGGAAAGCAAGGAAGCCAGATTGCTTGTTGGGGAACTTCAAAGCCAAGGTCCTCACAGCTTCGACAATAGTAACCTTGAATTCGTCTGTAATCTCGGCCATGAAACCGGAGATCTGCTTCATGAGCCTATCCACGGATTGCTCGTTACCTGTCTTCAACAGAGTGGTGATGGCGAATGTAGCAATGCTACGGTTCGAGTTCGTGATAAGAGACTCGATATCGGGATTGCAGGTGCGGACGGGATCGGGCTTGAAGGATGCCATGGTAGATAGTATCCTTAAAGCGGCG